CTCTGTTTTAAAATAGATCCCTCAGCTGGTTGTTGGGGCTGGTCTGGTTGATTCACTGCAAAGATTTTGGCTGTTTCTTTTCAACCGCGTGCGCTGCTTGTTGGAAACTGATTACTTTCGTAACTGCAAAATATAAGGAAATGTTTTTAATTATGGTAATTTCTCTTTAGCCCTAGTTTTTACAAATGAATTGCAACTTTATAGTGATTATATTTGGCGACTTATTTGTAGTATATCATAATAATTGGATACAAATATATAAAGACTATACAAATTCGTCATAGCGGCAAAGACGGTGGTTCGTAGTGCCTCCCTTTTCCTTACAAAAAGTTCCCTTTTAACTGCGCCGTTCAATTCATCATTGGCCACCCTTCCTACTCCTATTCCTATACATGATCTAACTACTTGCATCGACGACCGCCTACCTATGCCGATTTCAATTTCCCTTCATTTATTATTCGCTGCACATAAATTTTTTTTTTGCAATGGAAACTGTGCTCATCGCTGTTGTTGTTTTTTTCCTTCGTATCTTTGGCACTTCTCGTCTTCTCGTTTTACCTTTCCTTTGTTTGTCGAAATGTTTTTTAATTCCCTATTTCTCCATTCCCGTCACCAATTGTGAAATTTGTAATCCGGTTTTTTGATAAAATAAACAATCCTACCGGCTTATTTTGACAAATTCGTACACTTGAATATTAATTTATAGAATTTAGTTGCTAAGAGATCCTTAAATTTCTTATTTACCAATTTTTCCGCAGTATTTTTGAGAACTAGTCGGAATCCTCCCAAACGGACCGAAATGACTTGCACAGAGTTGCATGAGAATGCAACGAGCTCAAAAATTCAACGAAGTCCTGTGTTTACATAGACGTAATTTTAACTGCGTCTATGCAGAGTATTTACAACCCCGTATTCCCATGAACGAAACCCAAGATCACGTAAGAACAAGAGAGTGAAAAAGTCGATTTTTTTTAGCGGGTTCTACGCCATCTTGTTTCACTGGAAAACGAGCGAAAAGTAAACAAAGCAAAGAAAACAACGAAAACCAAAATTAGCCAAAATTATTGTCAGCCACTTTAAACGCGCAATTTAGGTAAAATTATGCAACAAAGTGCTTTAAAATGTTTTGTCATGTTAAATTAACTCTTCTTTACTTGAATAAAAGTGTAAAATAGTGGTGCTTGTGATGTAAACAAACGCTCAGCTGACGAACCCGCTTTCGCAAACTTTTTTCTCAAAACCAGTTACAAATACAACGTCGCGTTCTTACATGATCTTGTATTTTTGATTCATGCCGTATTCCCATAAGTTGACACAACTCAAGCCGATTTGACGTCTGCCTAAAAATAGATGTTTTCGTATTCTCAAGCAAAACAAATAAAATAAAAAATAAAAGTTTTTAATATACAACGCTTTTATAAATGGACTAAATTAGAAAATAATATTTCTCAGTTCCATAGATTTTGTTTTGACAACTTTTGATTTTGAAATTTTAGCAAAAGTCATTATAAACCATTTATGAGATTGAAAACGAAAAACGTGGAGCGCATGCAATACAAAGCATTACATTTAATTGACAATAGTCAAACTACATAACATAGACCTAAAATTTCTACAGTGAAAGTACAAATTTGAGATCGACTTTAAGCAGTTGTTATTCATATGTCCACATTCATGCATATATTACCCTTCATATCAATTTAGGTCTATTAAACAGGGACCGTAACAGTTACAACTTTTATTAAAAAAATCACTCTTTAACAATTATTTTTTGACTTTTATTTAATTACTCTTTAAATAACCGTTATTTCTGACTTTTATTTTATAAATCGAAAATAACAATTATTTTTGATTTTTATTTAAATAATCTGCAAATAACAGTTATTTTTGACTTTTAAATTATATGTCTTAAATAACAGTTATCGAAGACTTTTATTTATAAAAGTCATATATAAAAATCAGTCACTGATCTTTATTTTTTCAATCATACTTATAAAAGCCATTTGAATAAGTCGTAGTAAACTTTTGTTTTCCAACACCTTCTAAAACTATGTTCACATATCAATATTATCTTAATCAAAGCTCGTTTTTTAATCACCCCGTTTACACAGGCAAATCTCAGATTATTAGCCGTCAAATTTGTTGTGCTTGTTATTCTCACATCTCAAGGAAAAGTTATGTTTCTTCTCTGTGCCCCCGTGATCACGTTTTTCTGCTATAATAAGCAATATAAATATATTTTAACTTAACATTTTATTAAAAATACCTTTACAAACCTCTTTTACTTGCTAGCGTACATTTTTGTTTACTTTTACATTTGGCATTTCTCCTCTCTTTCGCAAAAACAATCGATAAAACTAGGATGGACACCGAAAAGTTATCGGTTAAATCTGAGATTATTTTATAATTACAGATTAACAAGGGACGAATTTTATATGGCTAATCTCTTGTTATAATTACAGATTAGGGTGTTTAGCTCTAAAATTAGGATAATCTACTTATATGTGAACCTAGTATTAACTGCGAAAAATGTTAATGACTTTTATACGATTGATTTAAAAAATAAAAGTCGGTCACTGATTTATATTAATGACTTGTATAAATGAAACTCTTCAATAACTGTTATCTAAGCCATATAATATAAAAATGAAAAATAATTGTTATTTTGGATTTATAATATAAAAATCAAATATAATTGTTATTTTTTTAAATTTTGCATAAAAATTGCAAATAAAAATTTATTTTCAAATTCGAGTCTCGGTGCAAAACGAAATCGATTGGTATGTTTCACTTAGTTGTAGAACATTTCCTTCATAGTGAATTTTTCCATGACAGTTTTCATCAATAACTGTTATGTTCGGTCCCTGCTATTAAATGCGCCCACGCTTTCCATTTTCAATATCATAAATGGTTTATAATGACTTTTGCTAAAATTTCAAAATCAAAAGTTATCAAAACAAATTCTGTGGAACTGAGAAATATTATTTTCTAATTTTTAGTCCATTTATAAAGCGTTGTATATTAAAAAGCTTTTTTTGTTTTATTTATTTTCTACTTTTGAGTCTCGCCTGTATAAAATTTTGCAATAGATATTAAAATAATTCAACTTGCAGTGAAAGAGAACAGAAGACAATGCAGGCAAAATGTTGTTTGCTCACGTTTATTATAAACATACATATGTACATACATGCATATAAGAGCAGTTAATTTCATTTAAAAAAATGGCGTATCGTCTATTTCCGCTGTAGCGTATGTAAAAAGTGCATGTATTTAGGCGCAATATTTAACTTCTTCTCGCGGGGCGACATCTAGAGTCTTCTAACTGTATCTCTTTGATATGATGCCTACAACGAGGTTGATATCTGGACTAGGTTGATATCTAGTATTTGCCATAAATAGCTTTGCTACATTTATAGTATAAATGGTGGTTTGTAGCTCGTTTCTATAACTTTTCTCAACCGATTATTTCTGTAGTGGTAGAGAATATACGTCATTCTCTACTACTCTTTAGCAATAGAGAACAGGGCGGCGGATTCATATCTCAATTCGCCTTGGTAGAGAATTGTTACAGAAACGATCTACTGGACACACAACATTGCAAGTGACTGGACACACAACATTGCAAGTGTATGGACACACAACAAAGCGTTGTAAAATAAAAATATCCAGTAACTTGCCAGTAACCAAATTTCGGAGAGTAAGCCAATATGTACTCCCAATGAGAGAAATACGCAAGAAAGCGCGAAAACGCAAAACCAGCAAGAAGTTGCAAGTTTTACAAACAGCTGATTAATATGTTTGTTTCGACGCAGTTTTCTAAGAAAAATAGTATTTCCCATCTTATATATTTTAAGAGTTTTATTTTGTCAATTGCAGCTCTAAGGACCAGTTTCTCAATGTCGGGTTAAGGGGCGGTTGTTCAATGTCTGGTTTGCACTAATCGGAGGTAGAAGCTCCGGTTAAACACGACTGCTTTATCGATCACATGTTATATGAATGTTGTCGAAAATGTCGATAATGATATTTAACCGGCAAGTAGTGAAAACCAGATATTGAACAACCGGCCCTAACACTAACCTCCGATAAAATATCGTTATCGACGTTACTGACTGCTTGCATATGACACTGTGTCAGTAACGGCGGCAACGATGTTCAACTGAGATTAGTGTTAACCATAGTTGGTGAAAACGGCCGTAAGGGGCAGTTTTTCAGTGCCAGTTTAAACTTAGATTAAGTAAACTGAGTTTAAATTGAACAGCTGGCTGACATTTGATTGGCTGATCTTAGTTTAAACCAGCCAGATCGGGCGTTTAATCTTAGTTTAAACCACGGCCGTGCACTGAAAAACTTTCCCTAAAAGCACCACACACAATTATATTTTTGAATGTGAATTACATTAAGCATCATGCCATCAGCTGTTTTTCTTACTGGCAAATAGTTACTAGTAAAAATTTATCCAGTAAAAACCCAATAAAACATGCAAGTTCAGCTGTCATGTTTGCTCCTTCAATTTCCCCTCTTTTGCTAGGTTCTTGCAAGTTTTTTTCGTACGAAAACGCCATCCAGTATATAAATTGACGTTTGCATACATTTTTCAATTTTTATACCCGAGCGCACTTGGGCACAAGGGTATATTAATTATGTTCACATAACGGTTGTTTGTAACAGCCAAAACGAATCGAGATAGATATAGACAAATGTATACATAAATGATCAGGATGAAAAAAGAAATTGATTAAGCCATGTCTGTCTGTCCGTCCGTCTGTCCGTCTGTCCGTCCGTCCCTGTACACGATAACTCGAGCAAAAATTGAGATATCTCAACGAAATTTGGTATGTAGGTTTCCCTTACTCCAAGGTAGGTTGGTATTGAAAATGGGCGAAATAGGACTTCAACCACGCCCACTTCCCATATAACGGTAATTTCCAGAAATACGAAAACTGCGATATTTTAGTAACTACTGAAGGTAATTCACTCAAAATTGATATTTACAATAATTTTTAGACGAAAAATAAGAATATTATAAATTTTTGGAAAATGGGCGTAGCCACGCCCACTTATGGTTACATGTGTATGTCTTGGTAACCGCTGCACCAATTTCTTCCAAACTTGGCAGAGTTGTTGGCCTTCGCACAACATACCAAATGGCGGAAAATTTTTAAAATCGCTCAATAACCATGCCTACTTCCCATATAACGGTAATTTTCAGAAATACGAAAACTGCGATATTTTAGTAACTACTGAAGATTATTCACTCAAAATTGATATTTATAATAAGTTTTAGACGAAAAATAAGAATATTATAAATTTTTGGAAAATGGGCGTAGCCACGCACACTTATGGTTACATGTGTATATCTTGGTAACCGCTGCACCAATTTCTTCCAAACTTGGCACAGTTGTTGGCCTTCGCATAGCATACCAAATGGCCGAAAATTTTTAAAATCGCTCAATAACCACGCCTACTTCCCATATAACGGTAATTTTCAGAAATACGAAAACTGCGATATTTTAGTAACTACTGAAGATTATTCACTCAGAATTGATATTTACAATAATTTTTAGACGAAAAATAAGAATATTATAAATTTTTGGAAAATGGGCGTAGCCACGCTTACTTATGGTTACATGTGTATATCTTGGTAACCGCTGCACCAATTTCTTCCAAACTTGGCACAGTTGTTGGCATTGGCACAGCATAAAAAATTGCCGAAACTTTTTAAAATCGGACAATAACCACGCCAACATCCCATATAACGGTAATTTAGAGAAATACAAAATCTTCGATAAATCAGTAAATATTGAAGCAAATTTATTCAAAATTGATGCTTGCAACAATTCTTTACCAAGAAATACGATTATGGTAAAACTTTGGAAAATGGGCGTGGTACCGCCCACTTATGATCTCATATAAGTATATCGGTAACCGTTCTACCAATTTGTACCAAACTCGGTGTGGTTATTGTGCTTGCCACATATAAGCAAAACGTTGAAAATTATTGAAATCGGACTAAAATAACGGCCGCTTCTCATATAACGGTAAATTTCAGAAATGCTTGAAACTTCAATATTTCGAAATTGAAGGACGCTAATTTAGTCAAAATTGATACACCCCGGCTTACCATCTAGCGGAAGGTTTCGGAAAGGTGAAAAAACATATATTTAATACTTGCGCCGGGTATTTAATGTTCGGCTTCGCCCGAACTTAGACTTTCTTACTTGTTTAAAGCTACTTTATTTTTTATGAATGAGGCTATAAATTTTTACAGAAGTACAGATTTTAACATTCGCTATCAGTCATTTCGATAGCCGGAAATCTCCAAAAGGGTAGCAGGCGCGTCTAACAGCATGCAATATCTAGTTTCGTATTCCAAGATTTGGCTGATAATGCACTTATCCTGTTATTTTTTCATTTTCTTTACTTTTATGCACAGTGGCTTTTCATTTACAGAATTTAGGCGACAGAATTTCGGACTGCTGCCAAAGAGCAATAAATCTATAAATAAATAGGCGAGCATGAATCAATTTTCCGATAGGTGGAGCAGGAGTCGAGCTACGTAAAAAAATCGCATTTATGGTCCAAATCGCCTCATACTCAGAGTGACAATAGACTTCGAAATCATCATCATCATGAAGCGTTTTTGACTCTATATTGATAACAAGCAAAATGAGAGTGTTTAAAAAACTGAAGTGGTCGAAATTCGGCAACTGGGCGATACTAGTACGTATAAGTCCGTAGTTCATGGGGCTTCTTGATATTTCCTCAGCAATAAATGTGTTGTTGTTGTTGGTGATGCTACTTAGACATGTCTAGATCGGCTATTCCCTCAATCGTTGTCGTCAGCCTCAACTAACGGGAGACCCAGGAAGTGTGACATTTCAACCGAGTTGGTCCATTGGGAGATGGGCGTTAGTTGAGTGAGGTTTTCGGGGCATGCGAAGAGAAGTCTGAGTCTAAGTAGGGTCTCTTTCCGCATACCGGGCACTCGTTGGGCGCTTCTGCAACTAATATGCTCAGGTACGAGTTTAAGCGTTTGGTGTAGCCAGAGCAAAGTTGGGCTATTGTGGTCGGAGTCTCCTGAGGCAGATGAAGCTCTGTATGTACTGCAAACGGAGGTGCTGCCTTGTGGTGGTGGTGGGCGGCGTCGCGTGGGAAGTTTGCGACTGGTCAGAACAGCAGGAGTCCACGTAGTCACTCGTCCAATCCCGCCCTAAAGTGGCACCAGCCAAGGCAAGAGTTGCACTTGACTGATGTCACGTTACGGTATATTCTGGACTGACAAACCGATCAGATTGTCGGAGGTACTAGGAGTTGCCGGCGGCAGTGTGTAGGGTCTGTAGTGCTCGTATGTGTGTCTATTGTTGTGCCATGATGGGGTGTTGGTGCGTTGGTGTTGTGCTGCTCGGGCGAGTGGCGGTTTGATTCGCGCAGCATGCGGCCACGAACGACGTGGTCCATTGCCGGTGCGTACGTAGGCCCGAGCAGGTGCAGAGATGACTCCACCCGTCACAGCCGTTGCACCTGACCGAGGTGGAGTTTGTACGCAATCGGGGTAAGGTCGCCGGGGTTAGGTCGCCTGACCAAGGTCAGGTAAAATCTTCTCGAGCCGCCAGGTAACACAACTCACTAATACCCCGCATCACAATTGGTCTCGAAAGGCACACAAGGGTGGTACATTTCAACTGTAACGGACTTCAGAGCAAGATCGAGGAGATAACCGTCTTCATGGGCCGGCATGGAATATTAATAGCTGCGGTCCAAGAGACGAAGCTGCACAGAAATTCAACTCTGTTGAATTGGGCCGGATACAATGTGCGAGCGAGATAATGGTGGTAGCTTAGCGGTTATCACGCACAACACCGTGCAGTATCATCTTATCGAAGCACACATCGACCGCAGGCATACCATCCTAGAATGCCAGGGTATTACTATCCGGCCAGGCGATATCGAGCTCGAAATATTTAACGTATATATACCCCCTGTCACCAGCTATCCGGCAGGATATCCCCCAGCTGCCCTCAGAGGTGAAAACCGCATGGTTGTTGGTGACTTTAACGCGCACCATGATCTTTGGTATTCAAGGCTGTCGAATAATCGTAGGGGAACACACTTGGCTGAGCAGATACCCACCAGGATTATGGACAGCGGTTGCAGCTCGTCGGACCTAACAATTGTCAGCGCTGGTCTTATAAACAGCATATCATAGCGACCTATACTGACCTCATCATCAGACCATCTGCCCATAGTCATCTCTATTGATAAACCTGCCAACTTTGCTTCCGAGGATCACCGAACCTATACCAACTTCTCCAAAGCTGATTGGAAAGGCTTCGCGGATGTTACTGAAAGCGCCTTAACTGCCCTACCCACAGCAACCGACGTTCACGTAGGTGAATGTAAATTCCGCAGGGTTGTCGCTGCTGCTGCAGACCGCTTCATTCCGGTAGGATGCATTTCGGATCCCCGTCCGAATTTTCCTGCCGAAGCGGCTGTCCTAGGTGATGAGCGTGACAACCTTCGTCAGGCCGATCCCAGAAATCCCCGTATCAGGGATCTCAACGCTGAGATTCGGCAACTAGTAAAGTGGAAGAAGTTGGAAGAGCATCCGAAGACCTGCAACTTCGCCTCTGGTGTGAGCAAGCTTTGGTCCACCGTGGAGTCATGGCCCAATCCGACGAAGAGTGATGACAGTGTCGAAATATCTTTTGGCGATCGCGCTTTGTCGGACCCGGAGCGGTGCACGAGCTATTTTAGCTGACAGTTCATACTGCATTCTCCGGCGGACAAACCCAAACTTCGAGTGACCAGACGGCTGCATAAACTGTCAACACCAAGTGCGCCTCTTGTTTTCCTCCAAAGCCATTTCACCCGATGGAAATTTGCATGTTGATGCTGAAAAATTTGGGTCCTGCGGGAGTGGAATATTTAACCAAGGTCCTCAACCTGTCTATGGTCACTCTTATCATTCCAGACATCTGGAAAATGGGGAGAGTGGTCCCACTGCTTAAACCGGGGAAACCGTCCAACAAAGAAGAGTCTTATCGTCCGACAACCCTCCTTTCCCCGGTAGCGAAGACACTAGAGGCCCTTCTACTGCCGCATTACACAAACCACCTGACCCCAGCGAAGCATCAGAATGAGTTCCGTTAAGTGCACAGCACAACAACAGCACTTAATGCCATAAACACTCAGATAACTTGTGGCCTTAACCACGAGTGGTCGACATTCGTCAGTAATCTTTAGAGACAAAACCAGAAAATCGAGAAGAATTAAACAGGGAGTACCAGAGAATGGTGTCCTATCCCCGTTACTGCTTAATTATTACATTTCAAAGCTCCCTCAACCACCATAGAGAGTCACTATTGTCTCTTATGTTGACGACTGCTCGATAATGGCGTCTGGGAATGAAATTGATGCCTTGTGCTCGAAAAAAACGATTATCTCGCAGAGCTTTCTCGCTTCTTCATTGCAAGGACCTTTACCCTCTCCCCTACAAAATCCTCGGCAACCTTATTCAACACCTGGACGAAGGAGGTCAGACTTCAACTGGGTATTCACGTCGATGGCGAACCAATACCGACGGTGAATAACTCGAAGATCCCCGGAGAAACCTTCGACATTCTGCTCTACTTCTCGGCGCACACAACTGCTATTGACAACAGAGTGCGGAGCCGCAACAATGTCCTCAAGTCGCTGGCCGGCAGCACTTGGGGCAAATACAAAGAAACGTTGTTGGGAACATACAAGGCAATTGGCCGGCCGGTTCTAAATTATGCAACACCCGTATGATCGCCGGGGACTAGCAGGATGCAGTGGATGAAGCTACAGACCTACCAGAACACGGCACTTCGGACACTCAATGATTGCCTTTTGATGTTGCCCCAACACCATCTACACGGCGAGGCCCAGATGCTCCCCATAAGGGAGCATAACACCATGCTTTGCAAGCAGTTTCTATTGGGGAGCCACAGACTTGGTCACCCAAATAGACAACTGCTTGCAGAAGAGCCCTCGCCAAGGTATGGCAGGAGGCACCTCTACGAACTGATGGACGAAGTCCAGATGTTCATAAAATAACCGGCATTCACAGGGAGTCGGTCTCGAGTTATGTAGACTCTTGACCTGTGAATGCTGTTCTGGGCACACAACCACCCGACGTGGACGGGACAGAACTTTGTCTACCTCAGGAGACCCGCACCACTATAGCCCAACTTCTCTCTGGCTATTGCAGCAGGCTAAACTCATACACCGGCAGAATAAACGAAGAAGTGCCCAACAAATACCCGGCATGCGGAGAGTCGCCACACGACTCACGGCACCTCTTCGCGGGGGAGAGGAAGTCTCATTATCTTCTAGTAGAGTGGAGTGGAGTGGCTGACGGTATCAAACGCCTTTGACAGATCCAACGCTACTAGGTCTGTTCTCTCACAGGGACGGTTTCGGTTTGGGCCACGAGCTATCTGAGCTTGCACTATGATCACTTTCATATGTTTACTATTGCACTACTACTACTACTATTCTTCTTCAACGACGAAGCGTCTTCATTTTCGGTTTCAGATTTTTTCAACTCATGCCGTAAAACCAAAATACTTGGCATTTTTATTTTTGTAGTGCTATAACCTGTTCTAAATTTTTGTTACTAATCGTTGCAACTCTTCAACTGGCGAGGAAGCGCGTCTTGGTTCCTGCTGGCAATGCTGTATTACAGTTTTGGCGTTTTGGTGCAAACACAATTTTTAACGAACTTCGTCGCACATTTATTTTGCATATTTTCCGAAAACAAGCTAGCTGTATTTTACAAGACTATTTTCAAAATGTAAGTAAATTGTGTAAGTTTATATTTTTGGATAGTTTTTATAGTTGCAGTAAGTGGAAAGTGGAAAAACCTGTTTTGAAAAAGTGAACGATGATTTCATTGGACACTAACCTTCGTCGTTCGAAGCCTTCCGCAGTCGTCGCTTTCGTTTTGTCGCCAGCGCCGACGGCGCCGTGGACGTCAATATGAAAAATTAGGTTTTGCAAACCGTCGATTGTTGTTTCCGACGATATTTTTGATAATATCGATAGTTTTAGCAAACTATCAGGGGTCCAACCGTAATTTGAGATTTATATATTAAGCATCTCAACTCATATTTCAGCCATTTATTTTTACTCAAAAAACTTAATGAACATGTTTGTGTTGTAGCCTGCTTTTTTTTTTTGAGCAACCCAAACCATTGATGGTTGTAGGTAACCAACGATGCTATCGATAGTACCATCGATGGTATGCCAGCCTTATGAAAAATACAATTGTAAATGGGGGAAATTTACGATTTTGACACATTTGTTAACTAATTGATTTTTCGCTATTTATTTTATTTACAGAAACTTGTGTTTTGATTTTTCTATAGTGAAACGAAAGGGGCTTTAACATTTTTTGTGAAAAAATTGTGAGAAGAACTAGGAAATAAGATCGTCAAATCGACTGAGAGTGGCATTTCATAGCAGCAGGAAGTTTTAATTAGACTTCCCGAATTAACAAAAACATAAAAAAGCGATGGAGTCGCCACCGATGTTTAATAGCGTTGAGGATGAATGTCGGTATTGGAAGGAGCGCGCAAAGCTTTACCACAAAGAGTAAACATATTTTATAGTATAATACTTATAGAACTATTATTTATCTTTTGAAATGTTTTGTATAATAGATGGACAGATGTGAAACAAGAATACGACGAGTACGTAGAGCAGTCGCGACAGATGGAGGCAGAAATGGATGCTACACTTGAACAGAAACAGAGTATAATCAAAGATCTCAGATCGACCTTTTCTTCACTAGAGAAGGAAAATGAATCCTTGAAGGTATTGTCCTTTGAGTTAAGATTTTTTTATTATTTTTTTTTTTAACTACATCGATTTTTGTTGCAGCTCAAATTACAATCTCATGCCATTGAGTTGGCCAATACAGAAAGACAGTTGGAAAATTTGAGAAACGAGCGTGATACGCTGAAATTGTACCTGCGCCAATTGGAACAAAAGAATGATGACCTAGAACGGGCGCATCGCATACTCAACGAAAGCATTGCCGACTTCGAAACAATGTTGGACAAAGCTTATGAGAAAAATGCACTTCTGGAAATGGAGGTAGATGAAAAAGAAATGCTGCAGGAGAAGCTACAGAGACTCATGGATGAAACAAGAGGTAAAAACGGAGTAAATTATGTAATTGTTCATATTCATATGTACCTTACTAAACAATATGAGACACAAGCTTGTATTCTGTACACACTCTTTATTCCAACATGTTTAGCAGAAAGCTTATCATAAAATACGCCCTTTTTATGGTGATATTAAATTTACTTTTTTCTTATTTTAGATTTAAAACAAGAACTGAATGTAAAAACGCGTAACCCTCTAAGTGGTTCAGTTAGTAATTTATCAGAAACGACAACACAGTCCACAGCTGTACTAAATGGCACTGTCAACAAAGCCGATATCACCCATGATACCATCAGCCCTAGTAATATCAGTCTTAGTACCACTCTCAATAACATCAGTCTCAACAATACCAGCCTTACAAATACTTTGAGCAACAGTCCAACAGTTATACCCAATTATGGTGAACAACATTCTTTGAAAAGTAAGATTTTAGGTGTATTACGATCTAGAAAATGTGGCATAAAATTTATAAGGTTTAAAACAAAACCAAATTCTAAAAGATCAAAAACTAAAACCTTTTGTTAATATATTGAGCTGTACCACACAAACATCTATCCACTACTTTTAAGCCTAATACTGTAAATGACAATTTACTTCAACTTCTAATTTTTATAAAACAATAATTGTTTAAGAAATTGATCTATGAAGTAATGAAAAAGTTTGCTTTTAATGCGTGATTTGCAATTTTGATTTCAATAAATACAAACATAATAGAGAACAAGCAGAATCTTATATTCTAAACGTTATACGATTGATTAAACTAGTTTGTATTTTTTTTGTATATGTATTATGTGCAAAACGTTAACGAATAAGTAGTTGTGTTGTTTGTGTGCGTCCGTAGACATACATTTTTTATAATTGTACAAGTATAAATTATATGCGTAGTACTATGTCTTTGAATTTGTGCCTATAACTCAAATTTAGAAAAAACCTTTTCAGATTCTTCTAACTTACTCAATGGCAATGCAATGACGCCAGGCTCTCGAACAACTGCACTCAACATAGTTGCAGACATGCTGCGGAAATTAAATGTAAGTTTAAATCCTTATTCAAACAATCTGAATTTATAGTTTTAACATTATCCTTAGGCAGTTTGTAGTTCGGTAAATTTGCATACTTGTATTATTGTCTTTGCAAATATTCTAACAAGCGTTCATTTTGTGAAAGCCGCAAGGCTTCAAGTAACTTATTCTAAGGTACATATCTAATTACTAACAGTTTGAACTGCATTCCATAATTTTCGTTCGTGTTCACACTTCCTCTCTTACTACTTTTCACTGTTTACTGAAAACGCTAACATTACTTCTAACTCATCTATCGCTTGAATCAACGCAATGTGGCATCATTGTTTCTGTGTTCTCTTCCAGTTGGATAAGACACTTTTATGTTCGCAATGTGAAAGATTTCGTTGTATCTGTGATCGTACCGTTGCTGCTGCTGCCGATTCTACAAGCAGTAGTGCCTCCACACCTGTGGCTGATGGTGTAGGTCGCCTTAGACGAAGTGTTACGAGCACATTTGGCAGCAATAACTCTGTCGATACAAATGCTACCATGACCTCCAGCTCCACAAACAACTCTTGCGCTGAATACGATGCCGACGTTGCTGATGTTTCTCTGCGTCGTACCACAAGTCGTAGTAATTCGAGTCTAAACTTTGGTACAAATATTTTTAAGCGCTTTGCAGAGCGCATGAGTGGGGGAAATGGAAATTTCCTGAACTCAACAAAAACACCTCCACGCACAACAAATACAAATATTCCGAAACCAAATGAACTAAACTAAGATTATTACATTACATCCTATATTTTATTAGTTTTGCTTTTGTGTTTTTTGTTTATTTTTTCCGTATTCGAAATGCATTTAATACGTTTTTGGTACAATAAAAGTTTTATATGTTTTTTTTGTTAATAATACATGTAGTATTCATGCTATTTTTGTGCACTTTGAAGCCGGCGAAGGTGAAGTTAACAATTAAAACCGATTTGTTGTGGAGTTGGGGGAAACGAGCCGAAATCGACGTGCCAAAAATTTGTCTACTAATTTGTGCCTACGCGGTACAAGGACTCGCACTCTAGCAGCACCGACAAAAGGGAAGTTATTCATTCGGAAGTCCCCGCCAATCTAAACGGTTAGATTGAGTCGAGTAAGTTGAGTTTGGCGGCAACGTTTGAAAGATTAAGTAATCGTGACAGAGTTGAGAAGGCGCTACAAGACAACGACTTGCGCTAGATAACAGCTACTTCCAAATTTTGAAATCTCTACTTTACTTGCTTGTACAAGTTATTTGCATAGCGAACAAAGCTAAAATAAAATGGAATGAAAAAATATTTATTACATGCTAATACATACCTCGTTAAAGTTGGTATTTCGACACAGTTACAAAAAAAGGTTTCCATAGCATTGGCGATTGATATGTAGTACAAAAAAAGAAGAAATTATAGAAAGTTTTGAAGAGATCCAGCGAATTTATTTTTATTTTTTGAGATGGCAATGATCCATTCCATTTGGATGACGAGGCTCATGTGCTTTGTGCAATAATCACCCTATTATTGTTGTATACAAAAAATGAGTCGGCAGCAACAATTTCGAATCGCCTTTTTATAGTCCACTTTACATTTGAATGTCAAAAATAGCGAACTGGATTTGTAAACCAATTTCTTGTGGTAGCCGTGAATGGAATTCAATAGCTTGAAAGCATAGTATTCTATTCCAGGTGCACGCGGAAATGCTGGCAAAATGCATACAAATCTTCTTTCTGTGAAATATGTATGTATGTAAGTGTGACATTCCACAACAAAGTAGTACTCTGTTCTAGAGATGGGCGCGTGATATCGGGACCCACGGGACTCACGGTACTGATTTCAAAATGGCCGGGATGGGTAGTATCGGGAAGGTTTTTAAAAATTTTCGGGCGGGACGGGATCAAAATTCTTTCCCGACACTCGCGATAAAACCCGTGACCGCCACAAATACGGAAAATCTTCCTTAAAAACGTTGTATGAAATACGCACTTTTACGTTCTATTGAGACGAAAACGAATAGCAAAGAAGAAAAAATAATAATTGCGAAAAGGCTTGCAACATGAAGCTAGCAACAATTTTTTTTTTTAAAGTAAGCGCCAACCTAATATTACACCGGCACAAAAAGAGTGGTGTGTGGACGGGATCAAAATTCTTCCCCGACACTCGCGATAAAACCCGTGACCGCCACAAATACGGAAAATCTTCCTTAAAAACGTTGTAGGAATACGCACTTTTTACGTTCTATTGAGACGAAAACGAATAGCAAAGAAGAAAAAATAATAATTGCGAAAAGGTTGGCAACATGAAGCTAGCAACAATTTTTTTTTTAAAGTAAGCGCCAACCTAATATTACACCGGCACAAAAAGAGTGGTGTGTGCTTTTGACCAGACACCGACATGTATTTCGACTCGCTGAATCCGAATCTGAGGTCCGTTTGACTCGTACACCCTCAGGAAATAAATATTCCCCGCGAATTTTTTATATTAAATGGCTGAGTTGAGCTGTCAAAGAAGTATCAAACAGCTCTTGCGAAGTTTGAATTTACTCCTTCCAAATTTTCGGGGAAAATGCTACTTCCTGGGGGTTAATTATTGGAGGATTTCTTTCTCGGGAGAAACAACTTCCCGGAGAACAAACTCCCTGGGAGTATATAGAATTGGGCTGATATACTCTTTTGTGTGTACAGTATGCAAGTGTAACCCATATGCCACCTGAGGGAGTTTTCCCGATCTCGTACGCTGACGACTGTTCCATATTGGCGTCTGGGAATGGAATTGATGATCTCTGCTCAAAAGTAAACGGATATCTCTCCAGTCTTTGTCGTTTCTTCACTGCAAGGAGCCTAACACTCTCCCCAACGAAATCAACGGCGACCCTCTTTACCACCTGAACGTTGTTGTAGCCGCTACAACAACAACAACAACAACAACAACAACAACAACAACAACAACAACAACAACAACAACAACAACAACAACAACAACAACAACAACAACAACAACAACAACAACAACCTGAACGAAGGAGGTCTGGCTAGAATCAGGCATTCACGTCGATGGCACACCAATACCAATAGCAAACGACCCGAAAATTTTAGGGTTCACCTTTGATAGCCTGCTCTCTTTCTCCACGCACACAACCGCAGTTATCAACAAAGCACAGAGCCGAAACAAGGTCCTCAAGTCGCACGCCGGCAGCACCTGGGGTAAAAACAGGGAAACGTTGCTGGCAACACACAAGGCAATTGGCCAGCCGGTTATAAATTACCAGTTTGGTCGCCGGGGACTAGTTGGACACAGTGGACGAAGCTACACACTTGTCAGAAAGCCGCACTCCGGACAGCGACTGGGTGCCTGAGCACCACCTACACAGCGAGGCGCATATGCTCCCCGTAAGGGAGCACAACAAAATGCTTTGTAAGCAGTTTCTGGTGGCGGAGGAGACTCCAACCACCTCTTCATATGCCAGCTCAACCCGACTCAGCTGACACCCCTCTCCCTTTGTTCCGAACCTATTGAAACAGCCTACCGTTAGTTGAGCTTGACGACAATGATTGAAGGTTAAACCGAAATAAGCGAGGCTTAGAGGTGCCGCTACAACAACAACAATAACATAGTGCATTTCTTTGTTTTTATATACCGTATGCATTGTTTTGATCGTTAATGGAAGCAATTTGTTTTAAGCGTATTTTCATTGTGACTAATTGTGCGCAACAAAAATTTTAAAATGTTGCTAAAAGTGGCTCTGCAACATTAAAAAAAATATCCATAATAAAGTATATTTTTTTTTAAACAAAATGGTTTAGGTTATAAAATTTATTAAAGAAAATTAAAGCATTAAATTAAAAAGCATCAAACCTTGAAAATTATTCTTGGTTTTTGTTAGGAAACTTTGTAAACATTTACAAGCAACATTTCATAATGGCAAGACAAGAAGTCCTAGACATTTGTAATTTATAGCAGTTCATATTTAAATCTCAACCAAAATAATATTTTGATGGCATATTATATATAGTTTTAGCCCCACCCAATTTTATTCAGGTCGGAAAGGGTTAGGATATCGTCACCTGAAATGAAAAACGCTGTAACAAATATCATCACTGAAATGGAAAAAGTCGTGACTAATAATATTTTTTTTTGCATAAAGCGATGTGGGGAGTTGTAATTCGATGAAATCCTTCATATCGATCAAAAAGTGAATTTTAATTTTTTTTTTAGTTATGAATTTTTGCATTTCAGCGACGATGTTTCTTATGTCATCTGCGTATCAACAAAATGCAAAAATGTGAGGTTGCATAAATTAATTTATAGATAGTAAAAACACTCATATTTCAAAATGGTTCTCTTTTTTATAAAGCAATCGCATTTCTGGCTAGTATATTTCAGGACGAATGGATAAGGATTGAACCAAGAGCTTCTGTGAGCAAATCCAAGTTTTGGCAGCAAATGTCAGTTACGCGGTTTTGCAGAATGGCGAAATTAAGAGAGTAATTTTTGCTTCTCACTAGCCCGAAGTCTGTTTTTCCGGGAGAGTTTGTAAAAAACTGTCAAAACTGCCAAAAGAAGAGGAAGAATTTTAATCATTCAAATTTTAACCAATAATTAGTTTCATTCCTCGAATTTTCTGGATAAAACCTAACAAACTGTCAAAAAGCAAAATTTCTCTCAGAGAAAGAGAGCATCAACAAAAAGTACGAGAACGCTTTTCGGGTAAAAACTGGTGAAACTGTCAAATACACCATGGACGCCATGTTTTGTTTACATATCAGTTTTTTTTTATCATTTGGCGATCTGCTAAATTATACGCAAATACACAAGCAAATTAAAAAAAAAATACTTACAAAACTTGATATTTCTTCGCTGAAAGGTGAAAATGCAGATGTACTTTTGTTTTTACTTATTCAACTTTAATTTCGTTTGAACAGCTGATGGTTTGACCTACCAGATTTTAGGTCCAATTCCGTATTCCTCGGATTAAAACTAGTAAAACTGTAAAAAAATAAAAAATCGCTCAGAGCGAGAGAGTAGCACCGAAAAGTACGGGATCGGGCTAAAACTGGCAACTTCTGACAGAGAGGACCTTACTCTCTTTTTGTCCTCTCAATAGTCAGACTAGTCGGGACACGTACGTGATCGCAACTTTTACCAGCGAAAATTCCTCGCGTAAAATCTTGCAACTTCTGACATTGAGAGGACCGATTTTACTCTCCCATTTTTCACTTTGCCAGAGAAGCAAGTATTTATACGTATATATTGCAACATATACCTTTTTATCTTTTGTTTGTTTTTGTTTTTTAGAAAATAGTAT